TACGGGGATACTCCAACTTCCGGAATTGTATTCCGACCCTCGGATCAAAATCTCACTATCGAACCGGAAACTTCAAAATTCGACTTTCGACATTTCAAGCCTAAATTAGCTACGGACCTCCAAAACACAATCCGAACACTCCTTAAGCCCGAAATCACCCATCGGAACTAACGAAACCATCAGATTTCCATTACGAGGTCGTCTTCACACTGTTTCGACTACGGTTAAATTTCCAACACTTAAGCTCTTATTTAGGGACTAAGTGTACCAAAACTCTCCGAAACTCAAAATCGAACATCCCGGCAAATCAAAATAGCAAAAATAAACACGGGGAAAGCAGTTAATAGGGGATCAGGGCGTTAACTCTTATGACGACCGGCCGGGTCGTCAAACATTCAGCAACTATCTTGAGACGTTAGGCAAACTATGTTTGGCTATCTAAGGATCAGATACCTATAAAACAATAGAAAACATGGTTGTATTTTGAGAAAAATTTGATAACTAAATTTTTTTTTCACCTAAATTTTTTGGACTTAGTTGTATTTTGATAACTAAGTCCAAAAATACAACATTTCAGTTCCGGGCTCCTAGTTTTACATGGGTTTTCCCAAATTCCAGTAGCTCAGTCGAATTCTGAGTTTGACTTAACGTAATACTGCGAGAACGTCTTGGGAATTGCCCTCTTGTTACGCCAGCATTGAGTCACTTGTGTAATTGTGTTAAAACTTAAAAACCAGCTTTCCTTTTAGGACATTTAAGACTGTTTTCAAATTGCCATCTTATTACTAGAAAAATAAAATAAATTTTACTTAACTCCCATAACTTCTAAAAAAATAAAGAAACAATATCTTATTTACCTTTTGAATGCATATAGAATCTCAATAAACTTCAAAATCATAAAAGCCATGATTTGTCTAGTAATTACAATTCGACTATATTAGGCCATGATGTCAAATCTTTTCTTTTCCATGTCCACTGACTTGTTTAATGCATAAAATTAGACACACTCTTACTTTTTCACTTTCGTTTTACAGCAACCAATACAATCTCTGTAACACCATATCCATATAGAAATACTTCACTATAAAAGCTTTTTTCGGAAGCAATTTTCATGTTATGTTATAATATATGTTCTCTATAACAACACTTTGCTATAACATTAAAAAATATTCGGAACATAAGATTTTGAATAAAACCCGTAGCTATTAACTATGGAAAGAAATTAGGGGTTTTTTTTTTTTACTTTGCGCCAGAAATAATTATATTCGGTAGCCGAAAAAATATATAATTTTGTATATAACATACAGAATATATATATATATATATATATATATACATTTTTTCGACTATTATTTTAAGAGCGATTATACAATGTTATTTTCCCAAAAATTTTATCGTCACGTTGTAAGCCCCACACTTGTATCAAATTATCAGTTGAATCACGACATTATAGTAAAGGGAACACATGATAATAGGAAAGTTCAAAAGAAAGGAACAAGTAGTACAACTCACTACAATTAGTGGTGAAAACAGGATTTTCACTCAAAAGAATTCAAAAAAATAAAGAAGTTAAAGAAGTGAATACGCAAAGTAATCAATAGATTCAAACATGTAATATATATTTTAAAAAAATTAACCTTATATATATATAGTATAATTTTTCTGTAAAAAAAATTCGAATACCCATTCCGCCCCTGACTACAATAGTTCTCATTGTTAGGTCTATTGTATTTGTAGTATTATCACTTGCATGCTTTTTCTTGTGACAAAGTCAGTTGTGCGATTGAGTTGGACTCTACTATTGTAACATAGTATCAACTTCATCAGTTTTTCTAGAAGAAAATATATACAATAGTTTATATTTTTTGTCTTGGTGGAATTTGAACCCAAGTATCTAACATTTGCACTCATTTCATTAAATATAGGTGAAAACAGGGGTAGACGGGGTTTGACCGAAACCTCCTTCGTTGGAAAATTATATTGTACATATAACGCAAAATTTTATTTGTACCTTTATTTTTATATTTTAAATCTCCTTGACAGACCCAAAAACGTAGCTCAGTGATCTAACGGGTTCAAAGGCAAATTTATACGACAGTACATAGAATGCTTATGTACAGTACTATCTGTAAAGTTAATAAGAATACAGATAGGGCAATTGCAGAAATGATTATTTCCGGATTTACTGGTCAACTGAAAGGATGGTGGGATAATTATCTCACTCAAGACCAGCGCGTTCAAATAGTGCATGCAACCAAGACTGAAGATGATAAGATTGTACAGAACTAAGTCTACTCTTTAGTCATGAATATCATTGAACACTTTTCTGGAAGGTGGTCTGATAATAGTGAAACCATTAGGACAATGCTCGAAAATTTGAGGTGTAAAACCAAGGTTGCTGGTTCAATTTTCACTGGCCAAACCATTCATGATGCAAAAGCTGTTTAGCTTAATTTTGTCATATTGGTTTCTTGCCATTAGGTCCACGTTGTATGAATATGACATTCAATTGTCTTGTTATTGGTGTTTCTTCTACATTTGTCGTCTTGAACAAAATCAAGAGATAATGTAAAATAAAAGTCTATATCTTGTAGCAAATGGTTGGCCAATATTTGTTGCAATCTTCAAAACCATTGCTTATAAAATGATCCTTTTTGTTCCTCAATAATACACTTCATTAGATTAATTCTGAAATTGTATCACTAGAGAACTAATAGCTTACCTATGGCTCAAAAGCTTACCTCAAAAACCCATGGCCAAAATGGTGCACAAGACGCCAAGAGTGATTCTACAGCAGGTGAAAGGTCGTCAGTTGAACACCCTTTGTCAGAAATTAATACTGAATTGAAATTTCTGGCTTCGTCACTACAAGAAGCGGACAGAGTGGCAGTGGTCATGGTACCACTTCCGGCACAAGGCCATCTAAATCAACTTCTCCATCTCTCTCGACTCGTTTCCTCGTACAATATCCCTGTCTATTATGTTGGAACCATTGCTCATATTCAACAGGCGAAAATTCGGGCTCATGGTTTTGATCCTCTCAATATAACAAACATTCATTTTCATGAATTTCAAACACCTTCTTTTGAAACTCCCCTTCCAAATCCTAATGCTTCAAACAAATTCCCAAACCAGCTAATGCCTTCTTTCTACGCCACATTCCATCTCCGCGAGCCAGTTTGCGCTCTAGTACGCGAACTTTTGAGCAAGAATCTTAAGAAAGTGGTTGTTATTAATGATAATTTGATGAATTGGGTGGTTCAAGATTTGCCTGAAATGCCAAATACAGAGTGCTATTCTTTGAATAGTACTTCAGCTTTCTTTTCATATTCATTTTTATGGGAACTCAAAGGAAAACCTGTCCTACCTGGAACCGAATATTATGAGGATATTCCATCAATTTTAGACTGTTTCCCTACAGAGTTTTGGGAATATTTGAAGATACAAGAACAATTTGATGGGAAGATTCATTGTGGTGAACTTTACAATTCGTCGCGAGTAATTGAAAGTTTGTACCTCGATTTAATGTCCAAAGAAAAAGATGGAATGAAGCAATGGGCTATAGGTCCATTCAATCCGTTGGAGCCAAAAGAGACAAGCAAAGATTCCAACAAACGCCACGAGTCCCTCCATTGGCTTGACAAACAAGAACAAAACTCAGTTATTTTCGTGTCATTTGGAACGACTACTTCGTTGTGTGATGAAGAAGTCAAAGAACTCGCGATTGGTCTAGAGAAAAGCGAACAAAAGTTCATTTGGGTACTCAGAGATGCTGATAAAGGAGATGTTTTTACTAGTGAAGTTAGAAAAGTACAATTGCCTGAAGGATATGAAGAGAAAATAAAAGGAAGAGGGATTATAGTAAGAGACTGGGCACCACAATTGGATATATTAGCACATAATTCAACGGGCGGTTTTATGAGTCATTGTGGATGGAATTCGTGTATGGAAAGTATTTCTTTCGGAGTTCCTATAGCAGCCTGGCCAATGCATTCAGATCAGCCAAGGAATTCTCAACTTGTGACAAAGTATTTGAAACTTGGACTAACTGTTAGGCCATGGACTCGTAGAGATGAACTTGCTACATCAGAAATGGTTGAAAATGCAGTGAAAACTTTGATGGCTTCACCACAGGGAGATGAGATGAGGAAAAGAGCAGCTGATTTGAGTAATGCTATCAAGAAATCAGTAACAGATGGGGGCGTAAACCGCGCTGAGATGGACTCGTTCATCGCCCACATTACTCGTTGAGTTTTTCTTAGTTAGCACAAGAGGTATAATGTAAGAAAACATATCAATACACTATATATAGGGAATGCCATGACAATGAAAACATATTCTCATTTATGCGTAAAGTGACAAGTAAAAATAAAAATCTATTTTTAGTATACATGCCAAGTAACAGTGAACGGAGGGAGTACTTCATTGGATAATGTTAGTATTTCACAAAGATCAGATTAGTTGAAAAAGGATTTTTTTTGGAAATAGGGGACCTGATTTTTCTTGGGAAATGTTACTCAGACCCTCTAAGAATGTTGTCGCATCCGTTTCAGATTCTTCAAAAATAATTCATAGTTTTTGGAGAATCAGACATGCACCCAACAATATTTTTGAAGAGTCCGAGCAATATATGTGATATGTCTTGGGATACTGATTCTCATATAGGGATATTATACAACAACTTTTTAAGTACACTTATCAGCCACTTAAAAGGACTAGAAAAATATTTAGAGAAGTGAAATCTCAAAATTGCATCTTGCAGATAACACATACAAGTGTATATAGGTAGAAAACATGACTGCTTTTAAACTCTTAGTTACATGTGCCATATTAATGACTTACATACAATGAATTTTAGTCACATATTATAATCTAAAAGTTATATGCAGCTATCAGAATTAATTAACTTTGGCAATATCAGAAGTTCAAAGCATATAGGACAAGTATCAAACTGTTTTATATTAAACCAAACATCATTGATTAGCAAGAAACACCCAATACAGCACATAGGAATGTCATTTTGTCATTGCATTTATATGCAAACAACTGAGAAATACAAGAACATAAACTAGTCTGAGCCAAGAAACAGACAAGGGACAGGTTTTAAGAGCATTGTAAAGTAACCAAAGAAGATAGAGCTAGACCCCTTAGCCTTGCGAATTAGTGAAAAACAAGTCTATCTTGTGATATGCGCGATGAAAGAATCCAACTCCATTCGAGATGCACCCCGTTTCTCTGTGGACAGCCTTACAGCTTCTCCCAATTCATCTGCCCTTTTTCTAATTTCGTCGCCTTCTTCTGATGCCATTAACTTCCTTACGACGTTCTCAATGGTAGATGCACTCACTAGCTCCTCGCGTTTCTCCCACTCCCTAACAATTAGACCTATTTTCAATATTTCCATCACCAAGAAACCATTTATTGGTTGGTCAGAGTGCATAGGCCAAGCAGCTATTGGCACTCCCATAGTAATACTCTCTATACAAGAATTCCAACCACAATGACTCATGAATCCACCAGTCGACGAATGAGCCAAGATTTCTAGTTGTGGCGCCCATTCTCTTACCACTAAGCCTACTTCTTTTACTCTTTCCTCGAATCCTTCTGGCAACTCAACTTTTCTAGCTTCCCCAGTAAAGATATCTCCTCTATCGGCATCTCTCAACACCCATATAAACCTCTGTTTGCTCTGTTCTAATCCCATCGCGAGCTCCTTGATTTCCCTATCAGAAAATGAAGTTGTTGTTCCAAATGATATATAAAGAACTGATCTTGGAGGTTGCTTGTTAAGCCACTCCAAACATATATTGTTCGTATTCGATACATGATCAAGTTTAGCAGGCAGAACCGGTCCAATTGCCCATTGTTTCTTGTTCTGTGTACTTGTTACTTCTACCAACAAATCAAGAAACTTGCCTTCGATTACTCTGCTCGTATTATGAATATCACCTGACCTAATATCCATATACAAACTCTGAGAAGCTCCGCGTTCCCTGATTTCATCTGTCATAATTCCTTCAAGGGAAGGTAAATTTTTAAGCAATTCTTCTTCAAGTTGTATAGACATACCACAAGATAAGCATATCAAGCAGTACAAAGTGAAAACTGAAATGCAATTAAATATATAGGATTCTGCATTGGACAAGGAAGAAACATCCTGAACATTATAAGACATTAAAGAATCATGTACAACAACAACTCGTCTTGTTTTAGATGAAATATCGTGAAAGAATGAAGCAATAGGCTCGCGCATAAGCATACAAGCAGCCCATGATGGCTCAAGATGCGCGGGGAATTTGTTTAAGGAATTAAAATCAGGTGGAGGTGAGGCAAATTCAGGAGTTGGGATGTCATGAAATTGGATTTTGGCTATGTCTAAAGGATTTAAGGCATTGGCGCGAACCCTGGCTTGACGATTATGTGTCGCTGAGCCAACATAGTATACTGGAAGATTATATGATGAGGAGATTAAATAAGCAAGTTGGAGAAGTTGATTGAGATGTCCTTGACCTGGAAATGGAACCATAACTATAGCTACTTCATCTTGTTTCAACTTGCTGCTATCCATGAAAGAAATTAGAAGGTTTTTAGTATTCAAACTTTTTTGTGTTTTTTCAAGGTATTGACTTTGAAATATATGAGAATTGAGCAAATGTAAACAGAACTAAGACTTGGAAACTTTGATTATTTAACCATAAATGTTGTTGTCAAAAGTGTTTATAAAGAGAAATTTCCTTTTCATTTCAACCGGCCATGATTAATATATACGTACAAATCAAATATGTGACAAGTACTTCTCCATCCTTAACCAGAGGTTTAGGGTTTGAACCCTGGGTATGAAGTCGTCTTTAGAGGAGCGTTTTACCACCTCAAAGCGGGACTTTCTGGTGCAAATCCGGATTAATCGAGGGGCCTTCAAAGTGGGATTTTTTGGCACAAATCCGGATTAAGCGGGCCCTAAAGAGAGTACAGGACACGGGTTGGAAATCAAACAAATAGCAAATTCAAACCTTTGAAAATTTGTGGTCTACCATTAAACAAAACACACTGGGAGAAATTGACAAATACATGTCTTAATCACGGACTAATTACTTATTTATTTTGAATTCAACCGTTACATGTCTTACTTATTTTAATTGAATAATATTATTTTATTTCCAGGTTGATTCAGATTATTGTTTTTGACTTGAATCAACCAAATAAAATGACTTGAATCAGTCCGTTGCCCGAATTCATGAAGATTACGTGGACATTAGCACATGAAAAATTAAAAATCGTCAAGAATTCCTATAAGGTTAGTTAGGCAATTTTAGGGAGCTTTGATGAGGTCATGAGGTGAATCACTACATGGTCTCTTGTTTTTTCCTTTTTTTATTTTTTACAAAAAAAAATGAGGAATACTTTATCTAAGAGAATAATACTATTTTAAATTTTTTTCTTTTTTATATTCTGACAGGTAAATATATAAGGACTCCGCATATTATCAGTTTTGGCTTAACCTTTCGGGTCTTGGTGTTTTGTCTCCTTGGGTTTTAACCCCGAAGGCGACTCAATAATTAAATCTTGAACTCGCTTTTATATAACCCTTAACTTTCTCTTTCTATTCTGATGCGAGGTATGTGGGATATTAGATTTAAAAATTCACTGCTGTATTAAATATTTTTTTTAAAAAAACTACTGATATCAGTTAAACTCATCTTGAAATTATTCATATGGAGTAACAAATTAATTTGTCAAAGCTTATATACCAATTATGAAAAATTTACTATATTTGTCGAAATGTACCTCCCATTCTGTCACGAACCAGTTCGCCCTCCGTGAACCATCGTGACGGCACCTAGTCCCTACGACTAGGTAAGCCTATTAATGTGGAAAATAAACCGATTCGACACTACGGAGATACTCCAACTTCCAAATTCCATTCCGACCCTCTGATCAAAATCTCACTATTGAACCGGAAACTTCAAAATTCGACTTTCGGCATTTCAAGCCTAAATTAGCTACGGACCTCCAAAACACAATCCGAACACGCCCCTAAGCTCGAAATCACCCATCGGAGCTAACAGAACCATCGGATTCCATTCCGAGACCGTCTTCACACTGTTCCGACTACAGTCAAATTTCCAACACTTAAGCTCTCATTTAGGGACTAATTGTCCTAACACTCTCCGAAACTCAAAACCGAACATCCCGGCAAATCAAAATAGTAGAAATAAATATGAAAAAAGCAGTTAATAGGGGATCGGGGCGTTAATTCTTAAAACGATTGGCCGGGTCGTCACATCCTCCTACACTTAAACATTCATTCGTCCTCGAACGAGCATAGAGACATACCTGAAGTAGTGAAAAGATGAGGGTAATGGTTGCGCATATCCTTCTCGGTCTCCCAGGTCGCCTCCTCGACCGGCTGACCTCACCACTGAACCTTTACTGATGCAATGTTCTTTGACCTCAGCTTTCTAACATGCATGTTCAATATTGTCACTGGCTCCTTAACATAGGATAGATCCTTGTCCAACTGGACTGAACTGAAATCCAACACGTGCGACGGATCACCGTGATACCTCTGGAGCATCAAAACATGAAATACTGGGTGAACTCCTGCCAAGCTGGGAGGTAGGGCAAGCTCATAAGCAACCTCCCCAACACGCCGCAATATCTCAAAAGGGCCAATAAACCTCGGACTCAACTTTCCTTTCTTCCCGAAACTCATAACGCCCTTCATAGGCGAAATTTGAAGCAGAACCTGCTCTCCAACCATATAGGAAACATCACGAACCTTCCGGTTCGTGTAACTCTTCTATCTGGACTAGACTGTACGGAGTCTATCCTGAATTACCTTAACATTCTCCAAAGTATCCTGAACCAAGTCTGTGTCTAATAATCTAGCCTCACCCGGCTCAAACCAACCCACCGGTGATCTATACCTCCTACCATATAAAGCCTCATACGGTGCCATCTGAATACTGGACTGATAGTTGTTGTTGTAGGTAAACTCCGCCAATGGCAAGAACTGATCCCAAGACCCTCCAAACTCAATCACACACTCACAGAGCATATCCTCAAGAATCTGAATAATGTGCTCAGACTGTCCGTCTGTCTAAGGGTGAAATGTTGTACTCAACTCCACCCGAGTACCCAACTCATGCTAAATGACCCTCCAGAACCGTGACGTAAACTGAGTACCTCTATCTGAAATGATGGAAACTGGAATACCATGCAGACGAATAATCTCCCGGATATAAATCTCCGCTAGACGCTCCGAAGAGTAGGTAGTACACAGGAATGAAGTGAGCGGACTTGGTCAGCCGATCCACAATCACTTAAATAGCATCGAACTTTCTCAAAGTCCGTGGGAGCCCAACTACGAAGTCCATGGTGATCCTCTCCCACTTCCATTCCGGAATCTCTATCTACTTAAGCAACCCACCCGATCTCTGGTGCTCATACTTCACCTGCTGACAGTTGAGGCACTGTGCTACAAACCCAACTATATCTTTCTAAACCCAACCAATAGTGTTGTCTCAAATCCTGATACATCTTCGCGGCACCCGAATGAATGGAATACCACGAACTATGGGCCTCCTCTAGAATCAACTCCTGAAGCCCATCAATATTGGGTACACAAATCTGACCCTACATCTTCAATACCCCGTCATTACCAATAGTCACATCTCTGGCATCACATGCTGAACTTGTCCTTGAGGACAAACAAATGAAGGTCACTATACTGACGCTCCCTAATACGATCAAATAAGGAAGATCGAGAAACCACGCAAGCTAGAACCCGACTGGGCTCCGAAAGATCCAATCTCACAAACTGGCTGGCTAAATCCTGAACATCCATCACCATAGGCCTCTCCGATGCTGGTAAATAAGCCATCCCCAAACTCTCTGCCCGGCGACTCAAGGCATCGGCCAACACATTGGCCTTGCCTGGGTGGTACAAAATAGTGATATCATAGTCCTTCAGTAACTCTAACCATCTCCTCTGGCGCAAATTTAGATCCTTTTGCTTGAACAGGTGTTGCAAGCTCCGATGATCAGTATAAATCTTATAAGGAACCCCGTACAAATAATGACGCCAGATCTTTAGGGCGTGAACAATGGCAGCTAACTCAAGGTCGTGGACAGGGTAATTCTTCTCATGTACCTTCAACTGTCTGGACGCGTAGGCAATCACGCTACCGTCCTGCATCAACACCGCTCCGAGGCCAATCCTCCAGGAATCACAATAGACCGTATAAGACCATGAACCAGTAGGCAGTATCAAAATTGGGGTTGTAGTCAAAGTTGTCTTGGGTTTCTGAAAGCTCGCCTCACACTCTTCCGTCTACTGGAACGGAGCACCCTTCTGGGTCAGTCTGGTCATAGGGGCTGCAATCGATGAAAACCCCTCCACAAAATGACGGTAATAACCCACCAAGCCAAGAAACCTGAGGATCTCTGTAGCTGAGGATGGTCTTGGCCAACTCTGCGCTACCTCTACTTTCTTCGGATCCACCTGAATACCCTCACTCAACACTACGTGGCCTAAGAATGCCACGAAATCCAACCAAAACTCACATTTCGAGAACTTAGTTTACAACTTCTTCTCTCTCAGAGTCTGAAGCACAGTCCTCAGGTGTTGCTCATGATCTTCTTGTTTCCGGGAATACACCAGAATATCATCAATAAAGACAATGATGAATGAGTTGAGATACAGATGGAACACACTGTGGATCAGGTGCATGAAGGCTGCTGGGGCATTGGTCAGCCCAAATGACATAACAAGGAACTCGTAATGACTATACCGAGTCTTGAAAGCAGCATTTAGGATATCTGACTCCCGAATCTTTAACTGATGGTAACCTGAGCGCAAGTCAATGTTAGAAAACACATGTGCGCCCTGAAGCTGGTTAAACAGATCATAAATGCGAAGCAAAGGATAACGGTTCTTCACCGTAACTTTGTTCAACTAGTGATAATCAATACACATTAGCATAGAACCATCCTTTTCTTCACAAACAAGACAGGAGCACCCCAAGGTGATACATTGGGCCGAATAAAACCCTTATCAAGCAATTCTTGTAACTGATCCTTCAACTCTATCAACTCAAGAGGAACCATACGATATGGAGGAATAGAAATGGGCTGAGTGCCCGCCAACAGATCAATGCCAAAATCAATATCTCTATCAGGCGGCATGCCTGGAAGATCAGATGGAAACACATCGGGAAAATCCCGTACTGTTGGGACTGAATCAACCGAAGGGGTATCAAATACTGACATCTCTCACATAAGCTAAATACGCGCCACACCCCTTCTCAACCATTCGCGGAGCCTTAAGGAATGAAATAAATCTACTGGGAGTGTGATCTAAAGTACCCTTCCACTCAACACGCGATACACCTGGCATAGCCAGGTGTTCACCCTCTCAAGACCTCCAACCCCTCCCATCTTCAAGGTAAGCGATCTTCATTAACTTGGCGTAAAATTCCATTATTCTTACACTAGTATTGATGAAATCTACTCATAAAAGACATAGATCTTCAAGGAATTCCTTCAAGAACTCAAAGGAGGGTTTTGCAAGATTTCTTCCAAAAGGTAAGCCTACACCCTTAGACTTATATGTATGA